CCTTGAAAAAAGTCACATACAACCCTTGGCACTATAATTATATTTTCACTATATTCTCAGAATTTATATTTTATCACCATTGCAATTGTATGATATTCTATGGGAAATCTTCATTACGAAGGCAAAGAAATATTAGCTCAGCACATAAAAGAACAATAAAACAAATATTTGTTGAATATCCCACATGTGTCAGGCCCTTTTCTAGAGGCTAGTGATAGGCTGTCAAATAAAGTAAACAAACAAACAAAAAGGCTTTCCTATGCAAAGCCTTTACTTATGTTCTATGAAAAGAAGACAGGCAATAAACAAGTGATGAAATTAAATACCAGTGACAATGACAGATTGTAAAAAATATTGTAACACAGAAACCTCAAGAGTAAGAAGGGACAGTGCGGTTGTAGGCACAAATGGTCGTTTCAACAAGACGCAGACTCAGAAAAATCTGTCTTGCTTTAAGATGATCAAAGTCATCAGTGACGCAAGGCTTTAAGAAGAAATTTTAACCTTTTAACATCCATTCAGAAATTCACACTTCTGTTTCTTCTTTGTGGTAAGTTTTTGGAGTAGAGGAAGTCACTGGGGGAAAGGTGAATCAGCAGGACACCAAAGAATAGAATCTTATTTTTTTTTATTTCTTACTTGGCCTCTTGTCATATTTGGAGAACAGATCTACTGATTCAAATAAATATATTAAAATCTTTAAAGGTTTTTAGTAATTAACCTGAAACTTCAGAGAATGAATGGGAAAACACTGAGTGTACTTGACCATAAAACACTGCTGTGATTTTTCATACACTATCTAAGGAAGCAGGTGGTTTTTTTGCCCAGAATATTGTGGTTACAATAAATACTGAACTGATGTTTTTTCAATAATCTGTGAGTATTTGTCGGCCACATTAAATACATATTCCATCCATATTTTAGCCCTGACAGCCTAAAGAAGGTCTCCAGTTGGATTTGCATATATGTGGTCTTTCATGGGCTCTTACAACTCAAGAACTTGATGGGGGCATTTAGTTGATTCCAGTGATCCAAGGCAACTGTCCAGATCCAAATAGTCTATGTATTGTATTTATAGTTAAGATGACCATCATATACATCTTCTAAGGCTTTTAAATATTATGTGTGACCCAATGTTGAATGTCATGCAACTTACTATAAGTGTGAACTCTATTATTTCTGAAAATCATCTACAGGAACTTTTAATGTAATAAAATACTGTGCTCATATATTTCTTACAATATGCAGATTAGTCACCCTAATATTGACTTCTCAAAATTTTCATGGTTATGTTCCAGATTACAAGATGAATTCTTGGAATAGATGTAAGTTAAATCTGTGACGGCTGCTCATTAAACAAACCAAAAGCTTATTTTATTTATATAGAACAGAAAACATGTACACATTAAAAAATAAGGCCATTTACAAACTCAATTGCATATCATAATTCAAATGGTGGAGAGTAATCCCAAATGGTTATTTAGTTTAGATACATATTCTACAATTTTCCTTACTGATACTGCTCCATACTCTTTCTGAGGATGCTGTGATAGATGACTCAAATGGGGGAAGGCAGGTTGGGCACTTCAGATTGAATACTTTTTGGTGAAACCGAAACCAACAAGAAATTTAAATTATCTTAGTGAATCTAAATCCACAGACTCATCTAAATATGCATCATCCCATCACTGTGGTAAATACTGAAGAGGAGTTAAAGACAGGTTACTAGGTAATAGGAATTTGAGATTTGTGAATAATTAAAGGCAAAGCAGATTATTAATTTGAGCATCCAAGAGTGATCCCTTTTTATATGGGAATTAAAAAAGAAGTTCCACTGCAACACAACTTTTCAATCCACTTCCAACCTCTGTTGTTTAGAAAACTTCCAATTTTATTGAGTCTTTCTAACTGGTGATACACAACAATTAATTATGAACACAGTTATAAAGTCTTGTATATATCCAATGAAGGTCCCATTAGGGGAGAGAGATTCTGAGATTTAGTATGAAATTTAGAACTCATACTCTTTGTTGTTTTTATTTATGGTGTCATGATGATGATGACATTGAAGATAATGTTATAATTATTTTTGTGAATTAAACACGTTTACATTTAGATGCATAACTCATCCTTTATTACTGTGCCCTACATCATAAATACTTAAATAATGTGCACAGCATTCCAAAATATTTACTAAAATCCATATTTAGTGACTTAAAAATTATTGAATTGATTGAACACATTTGTTCCTTTTTAAACAAAATATTTCTAAGTTAAATTTCTAAATGAAAAAGGTTTGAGGGAGTTTGAAATAAAGTAAATTAAAAGGAATATACATCTAGAATAGAAGTTATTTTGACCATCCTCATTTTTCTGTTTTTCCTATGCAGGTGCATAGAATATTGGATATACCATAAGACATGCTGCTTTGTCATTCAGAAAGCTCAATAGAGTCCTTCCCATTTGTGTGTATGCATCATTTATGCACTTTTGTGATCCAAGAACAGCTACCAGACCCAGATGGATTTAATATATCTGAGATATTATCATTCTTCCAGGTTCCTGCCACCAGAGTAGAAGCAGCCCTTTTCTATTTTCCCTTTGCCTGATGACCCCTGGGTTCCTCCCAAACTCTTCCCCAGTGCCATACGGTATTCCAGAGGACGAGTTGGCAAGACCTCCATTTTCTGTTGTCCTACATCGAGGCTATTAATAGTTTTTCTCTATTATAAATAGCACCACACTGAATATCTTTGTGCACAAACTATCCTACATGATTCACTTTAAAAGAAACCAACAAAATTAATCTCTGCTTGCTGTTTTGAACCTAGAAGGCATACCTATTAGACATATGTTACTCATAGAATGGGAAAGGAAAACATGGAAAATATTTCTCTTCTCTTAGTTACTTATATTTCTCTTCTCTTAGTTACTTGTCCATCTTCCTCTTTTAATTTTAAGTTCCTTGAGGGCAAGAATTGTGCTTTGAAATGTTCACTTTTCTGTGAGTCCAGAATTATTCCCTCCATAACACTCAGTAAATCTTGAAGTCTTGAACCGAATATGAACGGCTCTGAATATTCAGCAAAGCAACACCTATTTTTGCCTCTTCCAGCTGCAGTGCATGTGAAGGATTTTTCATTGGCCCTCTTTACACACAGCATCTGCTACCAACAGGTGATGAGTCTGGGGAGAAGAGCCTTGCCGGAGGGATTTTTCCTTGCTAATATCCTCTTTCCAGGTGTATCTTCCCTGTGGCATATCCTGAATAATGAGGCCCCAGGAGGTGATTGCAATCACTGAGCTGACATGTCACACCTGGAATTGGACAATCTTCACCCACCACACAATTTCCCAAAGTTAAATGTCAAATCTAAGGTTATTGCTAAGGGACTTGTTGTTTCTCTGTGCAGTCAAGTATTGTGCATAATATCAGTTCACCACTCATGTTTACCACTTGAAATATAACAGATGTGTAAAGATAAAATTAAACTGCTTTAAGATCAGAAAGAATTGACAATATAATTAGAGGACAGAATGCATGGTCATTTTTCTTAAATATACAAACCTGTTCAAAGTTGAATCAATTTTATTTTTGAAATATATAAATAAATTAGCCAGACTACACTGATCTCTGTGTACTACCTTCTATATGAACAATACTTCCAATAACTATACTAGATAACTATTTTTTCAAATTTATGATTTAATTAATTTTAAGTACTATGTAACTTTTATTAGTAGGCACTGACATGTATGTGTTTGTGTGTGATATATATATATGTACATATTACACATGTATTTAATAGTTTACTATATCCTATGCCTATGTCCATCCACATATACAAATGATATTTTTGTTTAATGTTGTAAGTTTATGTGTTTTAAATCAATTCACCAGTAAGTCATACATATTTTTTCTACTTTCCTGCCTGGATATTTAAATATCTTTATTTCTGTTCTCTTTTAGTTAGGCTAAAGAGGCTTCTGTTTGGAATGATTTTTAGTTTTTAGTATTTGCCTGAAAAGAATTCACTGAAGAGTTTAATGATAATATGTTTGAAATGCCAATTAAAGTATGTCATTTAGAAACATTTACAATGATATGTCACTTAAGAATAAGCCTTTTTCTCAATCATAGTAACAGTTACATATAATCAAATACTTTATATTTGTAATAAAATCATTCTAGATTCCCTTCCAACAGAATTTTGGTTCCATTAAAAAATTAAAGATGATATTCAAAGTGTGGGCAATTTAATTCCTCCTTGTGATAGATTTTAGTTACTGTTTCTTTTTTTAAATAACTGAAAACATATGTCTTGTGTAAAGAAACCCTAAGAATAGAAGAATTCCAATTTAAAAAATTCTTTAATATAGTAAATCAGAACTTATAGCACAAGCCAGTCATATACACTAGCAACATGATCAAGTTCTCACAGCAATATTAAGACATGGGAAAAGGACTACTGAAATTAAATTAAGCACCCTGAAAAATGTGACACTGAAATCTTACCTTCCAATCCTGTGCACGTTTGACCTCACTCAGCTCTTCAATAAGCATGTAGGCATAAATGTTCTACTATTTTAGGTTTCTTTCAGATTTCCATCTTTATTTAATCATTTCTACAAGAAAAACATCATTGTAGTGAAGATAAATATATGAAATAGACAGATTGACTATATTCTAGTTAACTTAATAGAAGTATTCACAATAAAATTTTAATTTAAATGATAATGAGAATTGTTATTACATATTCCATTTATCCTGAAATATTTAATATCTAAAAATTAGGGAAAAATGCAACCCACCACCCACCAACAAAAAACTCTAGAAGAGTAATGAGGATCTAGAAAATCTATCTTGTGAATAATGAGAATAGGCCATTAACTACATTTCACCACCACAGCTTTATTGCATAATATCATGGAGTTGACCATATATAGTTCAACAGAATTCTATTTTTTTTTTCTGACCATTGCATGTTTTACCATTTCAGTTCCTCCGAAGATATATGACATCTCAAGTGACATGACCATCAATGAAGGAACCAATGTCACCCTTACTTGCCTGGCCACTGGGAAACCAGAGCCTTCCATTTCTTGGCGGCACATCTCCCCATCAGGTAAAGCAGAAATATACATGGCCTGTGCTGTTCAATATTCTCTTGTAACCTCACTTGTGCAGAACTTCAGAATCAACTTTTTTTTTTAACATCATTTTCATGAGATAAGCAGAAAATGTATTTTTATACTTATTCTTTATACCTAAAGGCACTGTAGTTCACAGAAGTAAAGTGAACATTTTCTGTCAGAGCCCAGAATAGAACCTACGTCTCTCAACTCTTAGTCAAGGTTATTTTCATTTCTGTATACTGGGTAATCACAAATCAATAGACAAAAGGAATCAAATCAAATGGAAATACCACAAGAGAAATATCTTCATTTAAATGTGTAAGGTTTTTATTCAATCGGCATTCACATGTTAATAGGCCAGCATGAACTGCTAAGGTAATCAAGGGAGAAAGAAATTATACAAATTATGAGGTTGCTAGGTCTAATTTCAAAATGCAGTTCAGAATCAAGGATTTGGCAGTTAGAATTAAATTTTAACTGATGAGGGATCTAAAAACCCAAGAGTTTAAGTAATTTGTACAAGATCACACAGCTAGGTGAAATTAAGGAATATAAAATGTTTATGGGCTTCTGGTGCTTCTGCTATGGTGCACATCTTCCTAAAGAGATTAAGGAAGCTTTAGGAAGTTGGGGGTAATCATCATCAAAACAGCACACCACACAAATAGAATCATCAATTTGTGTAAAATTCAAATATTTGAACTATATAGCTTTCAGGGCACCAGGTACTTTCAGTGAATAGGATCCCACCACATTTCACATAAATTAAATTTGATTTGATTTGTTTTATAATTTTGGTGAAAATAGCTCCAACAAGTCTAGTATGATGAAACTGCCAGTAAGAAGTAAGAAATGCACATTTTATGTAGGCGTAGACAGAGTGCAATTGGAACATGTATTTTATCCACTAATGCTTGCTTTAATATCACTTATCTGTAAGTGTCTTTCCATTTCCTCAGTTATGCAGTAGGTCTAATAAGATGTACTCATATTGTATCCTTAGTATTATCACTAATATGAAAAAAAATCAATAGCATTATACACTTATGTATATGTATATACATAATATACATTATGACCCCTATAATACTACTGAAGTATGAGTGTTCTCTCTTGACTGCCAACACTTTACTCTTTAGAGTGGCTACGAGTCATAAAACTGGTATGTGGGCACTGAATTAGGAGCAAGCTGCTCTGTGGGGTGTTAGTGACACAAAGCCAGACCAGCAGTTAGGATGCATATGCTCATACCTCAGCATCCTTATTCAACAGTTCAGCCAATCCTAGTGCAAATTTCTTAGCCTCAGTTACCCTCAGCTAGTTTCCTACTTTCCAAAAATTGAAGGATAAACATTATTGGCTATTGTGAGACTCAAAAAAAAGGCATAAATATGCTTTAAAATATATAAAGTGATATGCAGATTTATGGTTAATTCTCAATCATCTTTCCAGGCTTTAAGTCTGATGTGACAATATGATTTTTAAAAGATTGAAGCATGTAATCTCCATCTTCATATAATTTAAGAGTAATATTTTAGACTTAACTCTCCTGCTTTGTGGTGCTTGTTATTATGCATATTCTTATTTTTTAAATGCTTGGATACATTTTAGTTTAATTAAATAGCATGAATGTCTGTTAGTGGTTATTAAAATAAAGAGAATGAATAACATCATGTAACTGAAAGAAGACAGATTGTGTTTATAAATTAAACTCTGCAATAGATTTGTTTTTCTGATCCTGCCATACAGAGTAAATGACTAAAATTAGCATAAATATTAACTATTAGCCAATGAATAGCTACACATAGTATTTTTATAAATGCTTCCAATAATTTCAAATTATAATTTGTTAATGATCTATATTTAAATGTACAGCAACTGTGGAGTTTCTACTTCAATTAACATGACTGATAATTCTATTAGCTTTCTTCAACTTATATATTTATATTTGAAAGCAAAACTATAAACTTCATTGATGTCTATATTTTACTGAAGAAATCTCATATCAATATTTTGCATATTCTCTTTTCTTTTGCTATATCACAAAAGAAAATGTGTCTCAAAACACTGGTCACCATGAGAACAATGTGTAGTGGTAAAAACTAATATAGATATACCCCTTGTCAATATTAGAAGCAATGGCTAGCTTCTGTGTGATTTGTTTAGGTTTCTTTGTTTTATTTTATTTTTTTACCAGTACCTTTAAGAATTCTTGCTTACTTTTTCATCTATTCTAGTTTTAAGAATTAATTAAAATTGTCTTGTCACAAAATAATAGCTCCAAAGAGCTTCTCCCTAATCTACAAAAAAAATAGGTTGTAGGTTCAACCACATACCAAACATCTCCTGAACCAGTTGTAGTTTCCATTCCACTTATTCGTTCAAACGACTGAGTCCACCAGCCCCAAAAACATCTTTCCTGAGTTTCTGAATATATGAACTTCCTGAGAGTTCACTAATTTTGTTTTTCTTTTTATATTTTCTATCCTATATCTAGGTAATTACTTTCAAATTTATATTTTAAAGTTAATGAAATAATACAAAATGCACCGTATATCCTTTACTCAGTTTCATCCATCATTTTTCCCATTTGTTTCAACATTTGCTGTGTGTAGAGTACATAGAAAACATGTATTTTTTCACTGAATCATTTGAGAAACTTGTATACATCATGCCCTTTTCTCCCTAGTTATTTCAGTATGCATTTATGAAGATTAAGGACATTGCAGTTTTCAACTCTTGTACATTTAACATTGGTACCATTCTTTTATCCCATTACTATCCATATTCCCATTTTGTTAACTGATCAAATCATGTCTTTTCTAGAATTCTTTCCCTCCTAGTACAGAATCCAAGTATTGTATTTGGTTGTCATATCATTTTAATTCTCTTCAGTCTGGAAACTAATTCCTTAGTCATTCTTTGCCATTACTGGGCATTAACATTTTTTTTTAACATTGACATTTTAATGCATGTCTTCTTTTTAAAAAAATATAGCATTTCTCACTTTGGGTTTCACTCATGCTTCCTCATGATTAGACTATAGTTTTGCCCATTTGGGACTAAATACATGAAGCAGTGGCCTTCTTAGGGGATGAGGGAATCTGGAGGCCCAGGACATCCATCTGTCCCTCAGCTGTGATGTTAATTTTCATTACCCAGTCAAGGTGCTGTCTGAGTTCTGCATTGTATTGGTTCTTTTTTCCCTTCGCTGTGCTACTAATAAGCAATAGGAGATATTTTAACAAGTAACATGCAAATGTCTGAGATGTGTCAACCTTCCCCTTAGATTTACCATTATCAGAGATTGTTTTGTGGAGCCAGTTTTACTCTGATGATTACAAAATGATTTTTCTAGCCTCAGCAATACTACTACTTTTACTAGTTAGACCTTGGTATTCTACTATCAACATGAACCTCACTTTCCTCTACTTGTTATTTGTTTGTTTGTTATTCATCTGTTTATTATAGTGGAGACTAATGGGGTCCCAACTTCTTAAAATTGTTTATAATTCATTACTGCCTTTAGTTATTTAGATGCTCAAATTGTCCTTGATGTGGCCAATGAAGGTCACTTCATTCTGACTCCTCTGTTCTTGTGATATGCCCCCATCATTTTTTTTTTTTTTAGCACATTCATGTTTTCTGGCATGACACAAATGCCAGGTTCATCTTGGTGTCTTTCCCACTCCGGCTCTGAAATCAACCTTTTCAGTTTACTTCAAAAGATTGGATACTGTATACTTGGGCTTAGGACCATTGAACATTGGTTTAAAATATATAACTCTCTTGATCTCCCTTATAGTAAAAATATCAGAAACTCAAAGTTCTAGGCTACTTCCTATGCCATGATAAACCACAAGAACTTAAAAAACTTTAATGCAAGGCATAGACCATATTTTGTTTGGCTTTATCTAACCAGAAGCCTCGAACAGGGCTTGGAACCTGGTATGTATGCAAAAGGTGGTAGAACTAATGGTAAAAAGTGCTTATATCAAGAAAAATGTATGGAGATCATTGTTTTATCACTAGAGAATTTAGATAGGTTCATTCAACTTTATTTACAACAGATCCTACTGCTTTAATCTGTGACTAGTTCCTTATTTACTTAGAAAATTTTCAAGGTTTTCTCAAAAGTCCTAATATAAGGTTCGTGATTCCCTTCTTTCCTACCAGTAATTTATTAGGTATCAGTCTAGCACTGTGGTTAAGATCATGAATTTTTATGTCAGACAGAAGTGGGTTTGAGGCCCACCTTCTCTTCTTACAAACTGTAAGATCTTAAGCACAACTGTTAACTCCTTTAAACTACAGATAAAAAAAACAATGATACTCATTGTGTGCAATTCACAGAATTGTTGTGAGGATTAAATAGAATATTATAAAGCAGTGAACAGAGTCCATGACTTATAGTAAATATTCCATAATATTACCTACTAATTTACCACTGAAATGTGTGTGACTTTTTAACCTGTTTCTGAAGTTGAGGGGCTTACTTATAGCTTTGGAATACAATTCATATAGGTGCTCTCCAGTTAGGGTATATGAAGCTAAAACTCACTTAAAACTTCTAGAGAACATTGACAAGTTTACATAAGACATCCAATTTTGAATACAAAGACAAAATAAATTCTTAATCACATGTCATTGTATCAGTAACTCTAGATCCAGTCAGAAAAAAAATAGGAAAAGTGCAAAGATAAATTTTAAAATAAAAGTTTACAGATAACAATATGGAGGCATTTCAAAAGCCTCTGTCAAATTTCTATTTTTTATTAATTGCTGTTTATCTTAATCTCTGTTTCTTAGTTCATTCCTATTCTGTGATATCTGGAATCTCCAGAGATGTCCTCTACTCTGCTGGTGTTTATTAGCTGACAAAGGTATTTTTTGACTCTGAAACTAAAATATGAGAACAAACACCGAGCTTTATATTTCAAACTCTTTTTTTCTTTTGTCTCATTTCCGTATTTAGTGCTTTTTGACAGGA